CAAATTTAAAAAAAAGATCACGTAATAAAAGTTTCAAACAGTACTGAAAATCATGTTCACTGACTTAATATTAATCAAAAAAGTAACAGATAAAAATTGCATTCATAAAAAAAGAAAAAATTCGCACTTCTTGTCCGAATGAGTTGTTTTTTAATACTAATAAAGTATTGTATCTTTATAGCTAGATCGGCACGCGTATACATGCCCTAGACCAGACGAGATAAACACAGTGAACGTTCCACATGGATTTCAACACATCACCTAAAAACCTTCATTTAAACAGGTATTTATTTGTGTTCTTTTCAAAAACAGTTCATTTTTTAAAATCAGTAAACAACCAATGCCCATGGGTTGTACATGTGTGTGTGTATATGTAAATATGCAAAAAGTGTGGCGAGGATTAAAAAAAGTTTATACAGGTTATACAGCTGTAGCCAGATTAGAAAGCTCTAGAAAAACAAATCGCAAAAAATGTCTGGAGGACTTTAGAACAACGAACTGCAATAATACGTCTATGGTTCTAGAACATCAACCTACAACAAAATGTCTAGGAGGGCTTTAGAACAACGAACTGCAATAATATGTCTAGGATTCTAGAACATCAACCTACAACAAAATGTCTAGGAGGGCTTTAGAACAACGAACTGCAATAATATGTCTAGGGTTCTAGAACATCAACCTTCAACAAAATGTCAAGGAGGGCTTTAGAACAACGAACTGCAATAATATGTCTAGGGTTCTAGAACATCAACCTTCAACAAAATGTCTAGGAGTGTTTTTGAACAATGACTTACAATAATGTATCTAGAAGGAGTTTAAAACATCAACTTGCATCACAGTGTCTTAGAGTTTTACGACAACTGTAACAAAGTGTCAAGAAGGGCTTTAGAACAGCAACCAACAACAACAAATTGTTTAGAAAAGTTTTAGAGCATCATCCTGAAACAAAGTGCCTAAGAGAGTTTTAGAGCTATCTGCAACAGTGTCTAGGAGAACTTTATAACAAAATGCAACAAAGTGTCTAGAAGAGTTTTATAACAACCTGCAACAAAGTGTTTTGGATGTCTTAAGAGTAATTCAAACACAATGTCTAGGATGGCCTTAGTCAACTTACCTGCAATAAAGTGTGTAGAAGAGTTTTAGAAATACAACCTGTAAACAGTGTCTAAGAGGGCTTTAAAACAATAACCTAAAGCAAAGTGTCTAAAAGAAGTTAAGAACATAAACCTTAGAAAATTTGCTGATAATGTGTCTATATTATTACACAATCAGACATGTCACTTAATAAATCATTACATACTCCAGAGTTAATACACTGTAAACATTACAAGTTCAACTAATACCAGTAAATGAATGAGAAACGAAAGCCATACTTCCCATCATGCAGCCTAGCTATAAGTGGACACACATAATTACATGAGGGGATCAAACCTTAAAAGTTTTCAAATCATTATAATTATCTATCCATAGAATTACATTTATTTTATATAGAATTACATTAAAACACATGTGTATTGAAATGCTTAATTAACACAGATTTTTTAAACAGTCATGTCATGTACAATACTCTGTAAATATTTCATGCATAAAGATTACTTAGGTGTTATGATACAACGTCAATCTATGTCTAATATCTTCTTTTTTCTGGGCAGTTTTCTCTCTTTTAATAATGAAATTATATTTAATTTCCAAGGAACAACAATGGGCCATTTGGCATTTCTTGGCCATCCAATTTTCTACTGCTATGCTACATATAGAAACCCATTTTTCTTATATCTGATTCTGATTCCTACACTTCTCATCTAATTTCCTTGATTGTTGCAGGTTCAACCACACCTGAAGGTACACCATAAGCCAAATATACAGTCTGAATCTGTTATTGCACAAAGACTATTCATGTTTTTCTGCTGCTACCATGGAACTTTTAAAGGTTTTAATAACAAGGAGTGAACATTAATCTCCTCTGACACAGTGTCAAGATAACATAACATAATATTTTGGGACAACATGGGACCTATTGGTCCATCTCGGCTGTTCCATCCTTAAAACTAAATTAAAATGATTAAATAAAAAAATCTAAACCCAGCCCTTTTCATTCATATACTTATCAAACTTCTTCTTAAAGTCACTTAAGTTTACTGCCTCTACAACATCTGAAGGCAACCCATTCCAAAGGCCAACCACCCTGTTAGGAAAATAAAACTGTCTTGGCTGAAGATGACTTCTACCTTACCAAAATTTATATTTGTGTCTCCTAATCCTACTAGTCTCATTGTTAAATATAAAAAAAGATGATACATCAACACTCTTAATTCCCTTTACAATCTTAAACATCTCACTCAGATCCTCCCTAACTCTTCTTTTTTCAAGAGAAAACAATTTGAGAGATTTCAGCCTCTGGTCGTATGAAAACCCCTCCATCCCAGGCACCATTCTAGTAACCCTTCCCTGAACCTTTTCCAACTATTCAATGTCCTTCCTAAGGTAAGGAGCCCAAGACTGAACACAATATTCCAAATGTGGCCTAACCAGTATAACCTCTTTATTTAATAATTTATGTATTTAATAATTCTACAGATACAACCCAAAATCCTATTTGCCCTACCACTAGCAACAGCACACAGCTTGTATGGCTTTAGAGATTGATTGACTATTGCACCAAGATCCCTTTCCTTCATAACACTATTAAGGTTATTCCCATCCAAATTATACTTATACTTCAAATTATGATAACCCACATGCATTATCTTGCATTTATTATAATTAAAACCCATCTGCCATTTATTTGCCCAACTCTCTATATGATCTAAATCCTTCTGTAAATCAGCAGCATCCTCTTCACAGTTCACAACACCCAAGACCTTAATATCTTCTACATATTTAAGTAATTTATTGACTATCCCTTCATCTATGTCATTGATGTAAGTCAAAAAGAGCAAAGATTCTAAGACTGAGCCCTGAGGTACCCCCCACTTGTGACATTAATCCAGTTTGACTGAACTCCATTTGTAACAACTCTCTGCTTTCTTGCATTCAGCCACTCTTCTATCCAATTTGCTAACTTATCCCCAACACCTATAGAGCTAATTTTTTTACATGCCTTTTATGTGACATCTTGTCTAATGCTTTCTGAAAATCCAGATAACCAAATCTACACCCTTACACTCATCTACATAAGCAGTGCTTAGTAACTTTCAACACTATGGCATTTGTCATTAGACCTGCAATCATACTAAAAATGAAAGTTGATAAAATAGGTCAAACATTAAGTGCATCAGAGATCAAACATATTTTTATGTGCTGGTTTTGGTAACTATTTTTTAGCTTTATGTGTGTCTTTATGTCTTGGTTTTGGTAACTATTTTTTGGCTTTATGTGCGTCTTTATCATTACACTGTTATTACAGTGGAACATAGTTTTAGGTGGAATAGGCCACCTGAACTATTAACCGATTATCTTATCAATTAAGTGCATTTAAGATTTATCCAAAAACATCTACAGTGAAAAAACAGTGATCTTGATTTACTTCTTGGAAGAACATTTTTTACAAATGTTCAGATAACCATTAATATCAAAAGTTAACATTTTACCTCACTGAGTATATAATTTTAAGAACTAATGACATGTAAGTTCTATACTTGAACAAAAGAATATTTTGCTACATTAAGGTCATCAACTTGTATTCTTAAGTCTTAAATTATTAATAGCTTATTAATGTAACAAGGAAATAACCTAGAATTTTGGAAACACCAATGAATTAAGTTAGGTGATTACAATAATGAATTATTCTAAGTCTCCAACAAAGAAGTAATACTTAACACACAACTCAGAATGGTTTTTAATTCCCAGATATTGAAGAAGACTTGATGATGATAAAATGACAAATGTAGTTATTAACTAGTAGGTAATTGCACTGTCCTTGTGTAAGCTGTTGCCAATATAATCAATAACACAAAGTTGTTCACTCTAAATGTTGAGCTTAAAGCTAAAGAATCATTAAAAAAAGATCATAATAGTAGTATTATACATATAATAATTAAGTATATGTAAACTGCTTTAATCTCTGTAATGTCACATTCATAACATACAATTGAATAGTAGTAATTAAATGAATAAATCATAACATATTCCTACTCCTGGTATTTGAGTGAGAATTTAGTTCATAAAGTTATGTATTACAGTCTACAATATATACAAAGCTGTAAACAGCTTATAGTTATAGTGAATAATTATGGTACACAGACTTTTGTCTTTATTTTCAAGTTATTAACTGACTCAAAGTCACTTAAGTTTTAAAACTCCTAGTTTCATTTTATTTTATAATTTTTAATAACTTGTACACTTCAACTTGGCCTAAATTAAATAGTTAACAATCGAAATTATTTATAAGTTTTTGCTGTTTAATAACTTTTCAAGACTCAATAATTTTAAATTAAAACAGTTTTTCATCTTCAATGTAACCTACGATAAATGTTTTTCCTGTAAACAATGTTCGACGAGGAAAGCCCACAGCGCATGCAAGTGTTTTGACTGTCTTAAGCCGAGGTAAGGTCATTCGAGTTAATGTTATTGTCAGACCCGTAACATATACACACCTTATACAAAAAAACGTAAGAATCCTAACACAGCCTAATATGATTAACGTAATAGTTGCATCGTAAAACAAACGATTGGTCTTCAGCAGCAATAACGTTTCTGACAAAAATACATAATACCCCTGTTGTTTGTGTAGTACTACTAGTAATATTAATAGTATTACTATTACTAATGCTCTTCATTTCTCACTGAAGACTGTGTGTATATATATTACAAACTCCGGTATAAACGAAACAAATCACTTAACCTACTATAATAAATTCGAAAATAGAGAAATCAAACTGGCAGTGACAATGCATAGTTTATAAACATGACGACGGTTTACTAACATTTACAAGAATGAATGTCTCAATCAGATAATGCCCGCCATTTTAACAAAACACTTAACTACAAAACTTACTGACCTCTTTCGGGAGGAAAACTTGTCAGTTGTTCCTCGTCTCGGCTAACTTGAGTAATAATGGACGTACTGTCCATTATTCCCGCATTAGTCTTTTACAGCTTCAGCAGTCACTGCGATTACTTTGATCAATTAATTTGTTCGTGAATGTTAAAACACTTTCAAATTTAGAACTAATCTATGGTAGCAAATTTCTTCGTCAGTATACGTTCTTACTTTTAGGCGCATGCGCAATTAACTGTTAAGCGAGAATTTGTAAATCTAATTTAGGTTGCCATCTGTTGGAGCTAAATCTAAACTGGCTTTAAGAGTACAAATTGTAAAGTTTATTGTGATATAGATAAATAAATAAAAAGAGTGATTTTTCAGTCGAATGTGTTTTTAAACCTCGTATCATTGGTCACAAATTTAAATATCTGCTGTCTCTAACCAAAAGATTTCATTTGTGATATATAGGTAAAAGTCTTGTGTTTAATATTCAGAATATCGAGACATTGAAAAGGAAGAAGCAGACACTCTTAGATATTAATGAATTATTTACCTGAGACAAAATAGTTAATGGTTAAATTAAGACTATTAAAAATCACAGTGTAATGTGAACTTCAGCTTCAATTCAGCGAAAGGAAATATTCGTAATGGAAGAAAGATTTATGCTGTACTCATTTGGTGTAGAGTTGATATCCTTTACAATCTGCTTGACTTATAACTATAATGTATGTTTCAACGTCAGTTGATACGATAGGTTTCATTAACATTTGATTTCCTGGAACAAATTTCAGATCAAATTAGAAGAAACTAACCTTAAGTAAAAATAAGATAATGCAAAAAATTCGCAATATTGTCCGAACGCCATAAAATGCAAATGTAACGTTATTTTTTTTGTAAACAATATATATATATATAATGTTATTATATCGTAACAACTAGTGTCCCCCCCCCCAGTAGCACAGCGGTATGTCTGCGGACTTACAACGCTAGAAACCGGGTTTCGATACCTGTGGTAAGCAGAGAACAGATACCCCATTGTGCATAACTACAAACAAACTAGTGTGTAATACAATAACTAACGAGCTAAAATATAAAGCTTAGCTATAATATGACTTGGCTCCGTACAAAATTTTCCCACACCATATTTATTTTTCAATATTTTTGTACATATGAGAATTTTCTTGAACAGTTATGAAAGGATACGGTGATATTATTTTTCATAAAATATCTTAAATATTTTGATTTGCATATAAAGATAATAATGATAATGTTGTACTCTAAACAGATCACTCAAAGCATTTCTTATTTAAATCGAAAACAGTGTTATTAGTATGCAGTTACACATTTATTAAAGTTATAACATTGAAAAATAATTAGAGAAAAACGAAATGTTATGAATAATAAAGATTGTTTAATTATCTAAGAAGAATGTGAAAAAAAACATACTATAGAAAAATAATTACAGCAAAAAAACAACAACAAATAAACCATGTTTTATAAATAATACAAAACATGATTTATTTGTTTTTTCTTTGCTGCAATTATATATATATATATCCGACAGATGGCGTAGAATCGTACAATCAAACAAATGTTAAACCTAGAACAATATATTTTGACCTGATCGATCCCAGTATTTGTGTAAAGGCAGTTATCTTAATCATTAAAGCTGCTGTTTCTTAGTTTATTTTTCTAAACCCCACTCTTATTAAGAGCCCTAGTAAAATAATTTAATAACCTCAACAAAAATACAGTACTTGTAGTCGTGTAATGATTAAAATTTTGAAAAATCAGTCATAATTTATTTCAATATCTAAATATGAAATTTCACATAAAACATTTACATCGTATATTGCGTTCATTTATGTAGCAAGTGATTAAAATATTGAGTCGAGTGGTATGAAATACAATGACGTTCATTGAACTCTCTCTATATATACATTTTGTAACAGCATAAACGCCCTCTAACAGACACATAAATAAACGTATATAATTTTAACGTAGGAATTTTGTGGGACTTCCCAACATCATTTCAGTATAATTTGGTGAAATTGGTGACGCCTATGCTTGAGAACTTGAACCCTAAGATGTGTATAACTTGTGGGCTATCTTCGGGATTAGAACCTTAATGAAGTTTTGATTAAGACATCTCAAGAAAACGTTTTTGTTGTTAACACTAGTAAATAAAAGAATAACTAATCTGGTAATTTACACAAAAATCAAACGTTACGTGTATAATATTTTCTACATTGTTACGTATAAAGTGATTATATTCCATTAACCACAGATCTCAGAATAGGAATGACCAACACATACAAATCTTAATAATGTTTTTAATAATTTGTTTAACATTGACTAACAATATCAGCATATATTTGAAGAAAAAAAAGTGATATATATATATATATATTGTTTTTCCTTCTGACGTTTGCACTGTTTACCGAAGCCAAGAAATATTTCATTTAATTTCTAATGTACAATCTAATACAGCAAAATATAAAAACAATAAAATGTTGTGTTTTTTTTTAAGTTCCGTGACAAGCAGGAGCTATAACGGAAGTGATGGTGAAATGAAATAATGAATAAAAAGGACCAATCAGCAAGCAGACCTCCTGCCGTTCTATCATGTCTTAATATTCGGTTTTGTTTTCGAGGCACGAAGCAGCTGTTTACCCGAAACTAATCTCAAATTTATTTGTTTTTCACTTAACTTAGTTTCAAATGTCGAAGATATGCTGAAATCTTAAAATGAGGCACTGACAAAAGGCGAAAAAGGAATCTACAAAAGTACAAGTTGCAGCCAATGAAAATGTCCGATGCTAACTAACTTTAAAAAGCTTTACATTTTGTCTAAATAACTCCTTTTAAAAACAGACAGAGAAACAATTCATTGTGATATTAAGAAACGTTTTATTGTTTTAGTAAAGTCAACATTCTGTCTTAAAAGAACTTATACGATTTGAAATGATTGTGTCAACAACCAACATCACCTCATCCACAAGTACAACTTATATGTGTTTTTAAGCCTGTTGTTAGTAGAATGTATTTCATTTGTTTCGATTTAAGGCTACCATTCCTAAAAAATAAGCTGTAGTTTATCACCTACTAATTCATAGGTCCTTTCTGTGTGAAGAGTAATATGTGCCATCCAGCACTAGGAGGGGATATGTACCTCAATAAAAAGTTTTTTGTTTTTTTTTTAAGCACGTTCCTCGGGACAGCGATAAGTCTTCAGATTTACAACGCTAAAATCAAGGGCTTGATTTCCCTTGGTGGACACAGCTGATAGCCTGATGTGGCTTTGCTACAAGAAAACACACACACACCTTCTGAGCACAAAGCTACAGAATGGCTAGCTGTGCTGCGTTTACCACGAATATGGAGACCCGATTTTTAGTGTTATAAGCCAACTGACTTACCATTGAGCCACCGGGAGCGCATTAAAAATGCACTTGTAAACATTCCGAGAAAACGTCAAGCATTGTTATTTTTATTATTTATGACCAAATATTTGGACTCCTGACCAGAAGGAATGCAGCCAATTAGCATCAGCCCACCATCCACGCTAAGTGATTGACTGTCACTCATATAACACACACAGAGTTTAAAGTGCAGGGCAATATTTTATGGTAGCGCACGGATTCGAACCTAGATCGCCTGCTCCAAAATTCAGAGCTCTTCCACGGACCGCGCCAAGGGATGTTTGGACAAAATATGATATCAATTTTAATCGCCAAAAGCAAACGACAGAATTAAACCAGTAGATCTACTGTGATAAAAATTACATTTTAATGCAAATAATTTCTTCCCTATTCCTTATAATTAATCTATTATGGATTTTACACACTTCCATATTGAAATCCGGAATGGACTACTTAGAAAGAATATGGAAGAACAGTAACATTCGCATATATTATAGTAAAAATGTCGTTAATACTAAATCATATTAAATCTCAATTTCATTGTTTTTACGGCCGGTTTAAGGCATTTAAAACTGTAATACAAAGTTTTCTATACTACATATAACATAGCATTTTGTATAGACTTTTGCCTACCATCATGCCTAAGCCTAGCTGATGAATTTTGGCGTGGAACAAAGTACTTTCTGAGCAGTGAAGTGTGCAGACAAATAATTGATTCAAAATGCTATTTTTATACACCTGTGATTTGAAATCCACAAATAGACTAATTGAAAGAAACGTGAAAATATGTCTGCAAACTTTTATGGTTTTTATCAATAATATTAAACAAAATTGTAGCTTAGATGAGGATGATCAAAACATAAGAATTCATTTAATTTAGATGAAGATGATCAAAACATAAGAATTCGTGTAGCTTAGATGAGGATGATCAAAACATAAGAATTCATTTAGCTTAGGTGAGGATGATCATAACATAAGAATTAATTTAGCTTAGATGAGGATGATCAAAACAGAAAAATTCGTGTAGCTTAGATGAGGAGGATTAGAACTTAAGAATTCATTTAGCTTAGATGAGGATGATCAAAACATAAGAATTCTTCATCTAAGCTAAATTAATTCTTATGTTTTTATCATCGTCATCTAAACTAAATGAATTCTTATGTTTTTGATCATCCTCATGTAATCTAAATGAATTATTATGTTTTGATCATCCTCATCTAAACTAAATGAATTCTTATGTTTTGATCATTCTCATCTAAGCTAAATTAATTCTTATGTTTTGATCATCCTCATCTAAGCTAAATGATGATCAAAACATCAGAATTAATTTAGCTTAGATGAGGATGATCAAAACATAACAATTCGTGTAGCTTAGATGAGGAGAATCAAACATGAGAATTCATTTAGCTTAGATGAGGATGATCAAAACATAATAATTAATCTAGCTTAGATGAGGAAGATCAAAACATAAGAATTCATTTAGTTTAGATGAGGATGATCAAAACATAAGAATTAATTTAGATTACATGAGGATGATTAAAACAGAAAAATTCGTGTAGCTTAGATGAGGAGGATCAGAACTTAAGAATTCATTTAGCTTAGATGAGGATAATCAAAACATAAGAATTAATTTAGCTTAGATGAGGAGGATCAAACATAAGAATTCATTTAGCTTAGATGAGGATGATCAAACATAAGAATTCATTTAGTTTAGATGAGGATGATCAATACATAAGAACTAATTTAGCTTAGATGAGGAGGATCATCACGTAAGCATTCGCCACAGTTTAATGGCTGATA